TAAAATTGTTGTGTATCTCAACAATGCGTTGTTACACAAGGAATCAAAAGGTTTTTATACCAGATAAAAGTTTTTTTTAATCCTTCTTTTTAGTTATGAACAGGAAGTGTTTTGTTTTGGGGGGTAAAAAATAAGCCCTTCCCATGGAGGATTTTCAATGATTCCCAAGGCTTCCAAAAACTTTAATTCAAAACGTAAATGGGAGAACCTGTTGTTTTATTAAAAACCTTAGTTTGTGGGTGGAAATTACTTGCCTTTATTTGGGTCAATACACTTTTAAGCTGCAAGAAAATCAAGCTACCTGATGACCTTCACAACACAAGATACAGAAACAGACCCACTAATTTTGCCATCAAGTCTTAACTTCCTATTATGTTTGAGTATATTTTCATTAATTGGTACAGACCACTATATTTTCAGATAAGTTTTTCCACTAGTTGAATGCCTCTGCTGCTTTTTTTGGCAAGTTCTCCATTATCAGATATGTATTCTCTACTGCCTGTAGGTTAGTCATTTCTCAATTAAGTCAAGTAGATTGATCTTCTTTAGCTTATGAGCGACACCTCTTACAGTTAACCTTCTAGAATCTGGCATCGGGAATGGGCACAGAATTTTATTCATATTCTTATAAGTGTCATATTCAGAGGTACTACCCTTTCTTAATCAATACTCTACTTTTACATTTTCACTTTGTAATAGGACTGCAGTCACTCAGCCTGTCTTTACCTCCGTTTCATGGTCATCCTCTTTCCCACTTTGTAACACAAGTGGGGTTTTTTCTCAGAACAAAAAAATTAGATCTTTGTTTGAAAACATGTTTAGGTTTTGTACAATGATTTTTATATAAGAAAACTTGTGTTGTCAAACAATTCTATGCTTCTTATTTACTTTTTGAAATATTAACACTTTTCCCTGGAACTTTCTCAGTATTGCCTAGATTGCCTTAAACCCATTGCCACAACTCTGTATATTTAATGTTCCTAATCTGAATCTTTTATCACTTTTTGGTTCAAATTGCACAATATTTGCTGTCACAGGGTGTTTAGTAAGTCTTTATAATATTTAAATTTGGAAAAAGTCCTTATCACAGACAGGTCAAGTAGTATCTCAATACTCTGCAAACACAAAGCAGTAACTTTGAAGTGACTCTACATCCAGACAAGCAATTTTATTCCGTATCTGGTCCTATGCTGGTAACAGGATGACAAAGACAGGGAGGAAAGAGGGATTATACAATTTCTGTGGAACTTGATGTCATTAGATGGCCCAGAGGATCTTCACACCACTAGCTGTGCTATTCCCAGGCACAAGTCCAATACTCCATTCTTTTCTATCGTTTTTCTACCCATCCAGCCACTTCCACAGAATTTCCATATTAGCCATTAAATAGGTCTGGGAACAAGCCAAACTAGGGAAAACAAAATGTCTTGATCCTCCAGTGCCTAAAACACCTCTCTATGGCCCTGAGATATATGAAAAGATATATACTATTTTAAAAAGAAACCTATAAAGTGGTAGGTAAGATAGGGTTCCTCCAAGTATCTACAAGAAGCAAGGAAGAAGGTTGTTTGGGTTTTTTTTCTGGTACACATACTTTTTATTTTATCCTGTAGTTTGACATATCCCAGCACCTTACAGTTCATCTTAACTCTGTAAATCCTGTACTTCATTAAAAAGCTTTCATAAAAGCTACTTTATCTAAAATCATTTGCCAATTTACCTAGAATCTTAAGAAATGAGTTACATTTGGTGCAATATTTTACTGATATCAGTTTACCCATGGCATTTTTAATCTCACAGATTGTATCACTGAATAGATCTTCTCAAATCTTTCAATGAGAAAAAGTATTTACTTGTATTTACAAGTAAATTCTAGTATTTACTTGTCAGTACAGTCACAAAAGATCATTCACAGGCTTCTCTGTCACTTTTCCGTTATTCCCTTTGTTATTAAAGGAATCCCATTGTACTAAACTGTGTTTTTTCACAACACATAAACTTGTTGGTCACAACAGATGAAGTAGGATACGTGACTACACGGAGTTAGTTATCTATCTATCGTATCATGTCAATGAATTACTAATTTCAACAAAATGATGAAAATTTAAAGGGCCTGGGAGTTATAATTTATATCTGATTAGTAAGTTAAAATTCCACTGGAAAACACTATCCCTCTTAAAGCATAAGATACACTTTATGAAGCTGATACACTCCTTGTAATACGTGATTATTGCAGAAATATCAGGCATTCTATCATATTCTTCCATTTCAGAGAGAGAGTTAATTCAAGAGGCAGAAAAAATTTGCTTCTAGCATGAATGCATTTATGTTGCAACAAAGAATGAGACATATATCCCCGATGAGAAGGTTCATGCACAGCAAAGCTAAGTATTAGACAGCAGTTAACCTACATTTACATTTCGAAATCATTCTTTGCTCATTGCATCCATCAGGAACTTTTAAACTTAGAAACCTTTTTCTTCCAGGGTAGAAAGAAGATGGTCAGAAAAAAATAAATTCCCTGGAGCTGTTAAGTGAATGCCTCTGCTAAATTCAAATTTATGTCTCTATGGTGAAAGTCTCTTTTATGACTCAGACTTGCTCTCTTGTTACATCTTGTTACATCAATATCAAATGGATTTGGTATGTGCAAAAATAGATGGCCTCCCTCTGAGGTATTTGCCAGTGTAGTGTCATTGCAATGTGTGCTATATTAGAGATTAGCTTGTTAGCAGGAGAGGGAAAGTAAAATTGAGAAAAATACAATTAGAACAAGGTTATCTGGCTCTTCTGTTTTGTGTGACATGAAATTTCAGCTTTCTCGTTTTTGAGTTCTCAATGTGAAATGTGCACATCATACACAGAGTCCTTATTGTATACTAAAATTGCAGTGGAGTATTTTCCAAAAATCAAAATCTTAAAAACTCTTTCAGTGAAAATATGTTATGGCAGAACTACTAATTAAAAATAATGTACAAAGAGATAAGTCTAAATAAATCATACAGATCTGTGAAACTAAATATATAGCATAATGTATATTTCAGCAAATATTTCAACGAATTCATCAAAAGTGAAACCTTTATGTGTGTTTTGTGCCCTTGAACTTTCAGTATTTTATTTTAAACATGCTGGAGAACACTGGAGCTACCTCAAACACTAATATTCATTACTGTGGTAGCTTAGTTAGAAAAAATCATAGACAACAGTATGGGATCTAAAGAAGAATCTAAGTTTAACAATGGCTTCACAGAGAGCTCTGGATAGAAAAAACTTCTGGATCCACAGAAATCATTACAGTATTTCTTTAGATTTACTGTTTACATTATTAAAATGCAAGAGACTATTAATATCACTAAACAAATGGTGAACAGACATGAACCAAAGAATCTTTTAATCCATTTCCTGAGTTGTAAATAAAGACCTTTATGTAAAACTACTGAAGGAAATATAAAGAGTCAACTACTTATAATCTTAATTGGGTTACTCAGAATCTTTAACAGACCTATCATCAGAGGCTGTATAAATCGAAAATAACAGCTTCTATTGGAAAGTGATCTACATCTAAAGAGTATGTCTTTGTTCCCTAAGGTAGTACAACTACATTGAGATATTTCTGATAGAACTTTGATGCAGCATACACTTAAATAATTATTAAAATCTAGCTGGATGGTGCATCTTAAAATACCATGATGAACCATTAATATTTTTTATTTAAGTCAAGTAAGTAATTCTGTAAGTAGTTAAAGTACCTTAACTTTAGTTAAAGATTTTCATGTAGTCTGTCTCTACCCAATACATGCTTTGCTTAACGAGCGTAGCTGCTAAGTTTGTCCTTGGGAGTCAAGAGCCTGGTTATACAGTTGTTTCTAGGGAAAAAAATTTAAAGAAAATCTTCAAATTCTAACTGCAGTAGAATTCTTTTGCAATATATTTGTATGTGTTTGGTCTCCAGTTTTCTCAAGACACTCCATAAGAAGCCAATACTAAAGTGATTGTACACATGGATTATGCCTTCAGTAATTTTTTATAATGTTAGGTGCTGTTTAACACAAAAAGAAAACATGAAGGCCATTCTGAAGTGGTTGTACAGGAGATAAAAATTCCTCTTATCCCTTATCTTAAGGATATTGTAAAGTTTAATTAAATAAAGCCTACAAGGTACTCTGAGCTACTCTACTTATGAGTTGAATTTATTCAGATTCTTTCTATTTTAACATTAAAGACAACAAATCTAGTTATATTTAGCACCATACAGGTAATAGTAGATAGGAGTCTGACTTCTTGTCTGACCCTTATTTGTTCAGTTTTTTGAAACATAGAGCTAAATCTACCCACTCAATATTCTTGAATAAAATTCCACAGTAATTTTCTCAAAAATCTTTTTGAATCATAAAAGTTCTGACATAAACTGAAGTTTATTTTTGATTTTGGGGTCTTTGTTTATTGTTGAGAATTGACAAAATTATTATAATATAATGGTTTCTAGCATTCACAAAGATTAAATAACAAATTTAGAATATATTACTAAGTTATTACACCTCACATGATGCAGGTAACATGAGTTCACCAGATATGTTCTGTTTTGGTGAAGATCTATCATTATCAACTTTTCACTGAAGATGTGCAAATTAAAACTCTCGGTCTTCACAAAACTGCAACAGTTGATTACCCCAGAGGTGTGGATGTCTTCTGGTTACTTTCTCTCCCATTACCAACAGCTGCTATGGCTCATGCATCTGTATCAAGCAGTGTGATCACAGCAGTGCTCCTGCCTAAGGATTCCTTCATTCAGATCAGAGCTTCATCTACCTTTTTGCTAAAGCCTGTGCTTAGAAACATCAGAATGCCCATAAAGACAGATTCTGTCAGAAAATGCCGACATACGGATAAAGTTGTAGCCTGAAATCAGGGTGTAAAAAGCAAGCCTGCCTAATGAAAATACAAAGCCACCCTGCCCAAAATTATGCTTTTCCACAGCTTTTCTTTTCTAGCATACTCACCAGCAAAGGTGGAACGCCTCCACTGCTGCAGGAATAAACAAAAGAAAATTAAGGATGGCCTTCTTGTCACCAGCGAGCTCCAGCTTAGCCAGGAGGTTATCATTCTAAGGGGCAGGACAGGGCAACTTTCAAGGGATGCAAATGCTGTGATTATGCACAGGTCAGCGGTGACAACAGACAAGAGAAGCCTCTTTCACATTGTGGTCATCTACTAGAAACTATTGTGTCATAAATGAGAGCTTCACCATAGATTATATAAACTTGAATTTAGCAGAAGCCTTTACTCAACAAACTCCAGAGAATTTACTTTTTGTACCAAAATCTCATTAAAATAGAGGCTGTCTTTATGTCAAGGTAGTTGTTGATTACTATTATTACTAATTCATGTACTATCTTTCTCCTTTGATCTCAACCATATTATTTGGAGTAAACTGAAGTAATAAAATACATATTTGTAAAAATTACTCATTAGCTTTAAAAACTACTGCATATTTAAGGGACAAACAAACACAGAAGCAAAATTCCTTTGTAATCTGAATATTGTAGCTTTCATTATCTCACACTGCCTTTATTCTTTCCTTTCCTTGACTGATCTACTAGTTCCCTGATTAAAAGTCCAATAATAGATCTTCATTCATAATGACTTCTCTAGAACGTTTATGCCAACATCTTTACACAAAAAGAGCAGTCAGATTGGCAGTTCCATGTAGCTGGGATTCTTTTCTGGTCTGGTTAATGAGAAATTTTCCAAGAAAGCCTATGGTGTTTGATTAAAAATAATGTTGTTGTGTAAATACAGCAGCAACAAACAGCAGGGATGTTTGTTAGTAGGAGTAGGATTCATCTACCCAAATGCCCTGCAGTTTACAAGCAGCACAAACAGAAAGCTTAGATGCTTGTTGAGACAGGATGTGCTGATGTGTCAGACAGTCTGTCTTGGCTTGAATGGGTGGACCTCCTTTGGAAATTTGGAAATACCTTCCTATCAGGATTTTTCATCACTATTCTTTGGAATCTAAAGAGAATTCAAAGAGAAACAAAAGAGTTGTAGAAATCTATCTGTGATTCTTTATCATATACTCACACAACAATCCCATACAACTTTTCTGATAAAGCACTTTGGGGTTTTTTCTTGCAGCTGACCTTTGGTAGCTATGTGGATTATGACAAAAATCAGACTAATGCCTTCTCAAGAACAAATAGCAACAGAAATTTATTTTCATTAAAGCAACAAAACCTTAAATAATCCTATGAGGAACAAATACACTTTTATTACTGCAGAAATTCATAGCAGCTTACCTCTTTAAGGAATGTCACCTCATTAGCTATAAGACATTTTCTGAGATACCACAGTTTCATTGTCTGGGAAGAAGAAAAAGGCCAGTTTGTAACTTTGCCTCAGAGCCCAGCTTGCAAATCCTTTCAATAAAAAGGAAAAAGAAAGGTTAGTAAATACATCCAGTACCCACAGATTTGATGACTGATCATAGAGCCAAATGTATGACATAAACAGCTGTCTTGGCAGAACACACAGTCTCCCCTCTAGCACATACTGTTGGCATGCATATGCCAATTAAGTGTATATTAGCCTCTCACAAAGCTTCCATCTACTTCAAAGCAAAACAGGACTCCACCAAAAAGCTCTAAGGGTACTCAGTTTCCACTAAAAGTACAGCTGCAAAGTGAAGGGTTCAGAGTTGGCTTTATTGTAATTTATTTCAAGAATCTCTGTTGTCATTAAATTCAAGAGATTGTTATTGGAAATTTTCTGCACACTTTTTTCACATTCTGTCTCTGAGGTGTTGACCTCAATTTAATTCAGACAAGGAAGTACAACTAGCTAGAAAACAACTGATGCTGCCTTTGCTTGGTGTGTTGTTCCTTTACCATCTAATTTGTGGAACTGGCATCAATGTGACAGAAATTGCACTGATGACTTCCAAAATCCCACAAAATAGCTAGAGTTGCATAATGCCCTTCATCACAGACACAGTCCCCAGAGAACAAGCCATCCTAGTCTTGCTGTAAAATTCCTGACTTTGTGCTTCCATTCATCTATCATGCCTGCAACTGCACTCATGGGACTATGAGAGTTGCTGGAAACAATTTATGCCTGTACACCATGTCTACTGTGACTCCTTTGGTGAGAAAGCTGAGCAAGTGAGCTTAGTGAAAAAAACAGCAAAAACAGTGCCCTTCTCACTTAGAGGAAGGAAGAGTCAATGCAAAGGTAAAGGGTGATCACAAGGCTTGTGGAGCCCATAGGAACAGCTGCAAAAGGGAATTAGCAAAGTACCAGGGGAAGAGAAAAGTGCACTGATTGTGTAAATGAAAGTGCAACTACTGTAGAAAGCCAACATCAGGAGGCAACAAGAGACTGTTCTGGCTTGCACAACTGGGCAAGACTGGGAAACATTTTGATGCCATAATGAAGTTCAAACTATTAGAGCTGCACTGTATTCTGTACTTGCATAAATTGAAAGACTTCCTGCCATCCCAAAGATCATTTTAACAGTGTGCAGTAAGAGATAGATACCCATGAAACTGCATCATATTGGACAACAAATAACTTTAATATACATAGATGTTCTCATTTAAAGAAATTCAGTTTTAGATTGTCTTGCTAACAAGAAATATGCACTTAACATATTTTAAGAATACAATAAGAATTAAGATTTAAGGAATTATCAGTCACTTCACTTAGAATTCAAAGATTTGGAAATTTCTGGTTTTGTTTGAGCAAAAGTGTTTACTGATAAATTTAAAGTGCTTTTTAATTAATATATGCATTAAGAAAAGGTAGGTCTGTCTAAACAGCTCTGTCATCTTGCATACAGAGATCCATAAAGAACAACACTACCATGACCTCTTTCTCATTGACATATTTCTTTAAGGAAAAGTTTTAATTGTAGCAGCACCTAAACCCACATTAATGACAGTAAATAATCTTTTAAGTGCCTTTGTATATAATTGCCTTATTCAAAGTGAAGTGCACAGCAACATTAGCAGCCTTCTAAAATTCAGTGTACTTTGAAAATATTATCTGTTGTACATTTAAATGGCCAATTTTAAAGTTCTACTAATCTAGTCCACACTTCTTTACCTTAGCTTGCTTAAACACTATGCTTTTTACTGTTAGTTGGGCTCTCTGGAACAGCACATACCTTTCAGACACAGCCATATCACATATCATGTAGACAAATATATCACAAGAAGTGATAAACAACTTTTAGTAGTTAAGTATAAAATTTAAAGTCAAATAAACTTTTAAGATTCATATGTAATGTGTGGCTGTGAAGGGATAGAAAACAACTTAGAAATTAGACTTTAAAAGATGCTCAGACCCTGTTAAATAGGTCAGGTAAAACTTGAAGAGGAAAAGAGTGCAAAGAAAGGGGAAAAACAGTTAACAGAGAATCCAGGGAGCAGCATTTCTCAAAAGTGTTCAAATAAAAAAATTCTATGTGCTATTGTGATATGAAACGTCAGTGATTCAATGCAATAACCAGAGTTGCGGGAGTCTCTTTTTATTATGAAGAATGTTTATGTGAAGAGCAAAACACAAAGAAAAAGAAACAACTAAAGAATACTTGATGGGCATTTTAATCTTCTATTAATATGCAAATTTTGTTCTTTAGGACTCAAGGAAAAAATATGGGTTTTTTTCATAGGTTATTTAAAAGTGTCTTACTCTCCCAGAGGTACTTCTTGTATGAATCCAAGTGAAACACTCTATTTATGGTAATTCCCCAGATACTCCCGTATGAACTATTTTCTTTTTGAAATTATATGGAATTTACTGAACCACATTTGTAAAACATTGCACAGCTGATTTCATTCTAAGGATCTCCTTTAATAGAGCTGAATTCCCTGTTGATCTGTGTCATATGAGGATGATAAGGAAATCATCTTCAACAATGAGAGAAGAAATGAAAAAGTTGGTATGAAAATCTGGATAAGAGTTTCTGATCAAAAAATGGATAATTTTGTCTTCATAATGAGCTGTAGTCACATATGTGTCCCTAAAAACACACGAAAAGATTTTCCTCATTATATGCCGTTCTTCAGAGGAAAAGCAGCTTTACTGTTGGAATAACATCATTATTATTATATATTCAAAAATGCTTTTCCTGATTTCCTTTATACCTACTTATTAGCAGCCACTATATCATAGTGAAAAATAAAAATAAACCCAGCAAAATATTGCTTATTCCCATCAAAAGGGAAACTAGGAATTGTTTTTAAAAATTTGTTGCTGTGAAGTTAAACATTCTCTCCATGTTTTTCATATAGAAATGACAGAGCAAGATCATGAGTTTAAATGTGCTTCTCTTGCAAGACTTCCTCACCTTCTGTGGTTTTATCTATTACTAAAGAAACCAGATTAAGCTCTAAAAAGTACTCATGGAACTCAGAATTATCATGAAGTTCAAAACCCTTTTGTCTTATTACTCAAAAGTCTGTAATGATTTGATCTGACTTTCTGTGAATGCTCTTTGTACCTGATCCCATATGAATGTCTTCCTACTCAGACCCCTCATGAAATGATGGCTTCAGGTATGGATCTCCTTTGGCTTTTATGAATGTGGGGATAAGTGCATCACTGTGAAATGTAATACTTCTGTGCAGCTATAAAGCTGATAAGGAAGGAAGACTTATGCACTGGAATTCCATCAACACATCCCATTAAGAGACGTACATTACCTATCTGCAGGTACAATATGGAAACTAAAACGGCTCCAAAGCATGACCAAGAAAAAAGACAGTATTTCATAGGACTACAGAAAAGTGTTAGAGATAATTTTTTTTTTAACATATTCCTCTAATATTTGCTGTTTGTTATTGTAGAGAAGACATAAATCCCATGACTCTAATTGTGCTGATCATTATTTAATTTAAGGACACTGCAGGAGAATTCAAATAAAAAAGCAGTATCGATTTTTCCCTCTGGAATACATATATTAATCAGACAAAGTTATGTTTCAGATTACACAATGTATATGATAAGTAACAGGAAAAAGATAAAAGCCACAAAAAAACACACAACTATGAATAAAAGTGAATAGGTGTTTCTCAAGATCATTCATGTAGTGTGATATGCTGCACCTAGGACCAGGAACTGCAACTTTCATCTGTCATGAAAGCTTCACAGAGCTTCTCCTGCTTCAGCTACCCAAAGAGGAGCTTGACGTAGTTATAGACAAAATTCTACCTCTGGAGATAAAAAGTGACATGTTTTTGACAAAAAGAGGAGATGGGAAAGGCAGTGTAAATGCATTATTGCGTAAGCTAAAAGCCATAGATGGCGGAGAAGGGCCTTAACAGTGACAGTAGCTGTTGGGATTCTTTTTGCCTAAAGACACAGTTCTAACTTAAAAAAAAAACCAACCACAACCAAAAAGTTTAGTTGCCACTAATTTTTTGAATCAATTTAATTTGACCAGACATTAGTAAACACAATGAATGCCATACACTGAAGGGGAGGATTGAAATAGAAAGCACATAAGTGGATAATAAGAGGGGATATTGTAGACCAAGTAATCACAGCCAGTAAAAGCACTGACATCACATATTCTACTGTCAGCTCCACTCATTCGTGAGCCCACTTTGGTTAGCATACAGAGGTCCCATCAGAAAGGCTTGGCATGCTTTGTCCCCTCACACTGCTGTGGGGAAATTTTTTTTACCAGTTAGTCTTCTCCACTGGCACCCAAACTGGAAAAAAATGTCTCCGTGCTCCAGTACCTTTTCAAACTACTGCAGTGGGACAATGGTCCCCAGATGGATGGAGGCTGAAGTGGCCTTACATCGGTGTGAGAGCATCCATACCTTGGCTAGAAAAAAAGTTTTTTTTTATTCTGATCCCTTATCAGCATTCCTCAATGCGTAATTAATTTATTCACACATACGTTTATCTTCAATGGTTACATTCAGCCAGAGTTCCTGTCCTTCCACCCTAGAGCTTCCTGCTTCCAAAGCAGGAGAAACTAAACTGAACATGGTCCATACCTAGAGCTGCTGCTCTCAGAATTGTCATATTTAACTAACTTGGGCTCAGTTTCTTCCAGAAACTTGGAAGTTAGTATACTGGAGCACTAAGAGATCGCTTAGTAGTGGAAAATGTTGGGGAAATGACCAGGACAGACTGTGAAGTTATGTGACAAAAGCTAGTCCATGTGGCCACAAAGTAGCACAGACACAATGGTGTCTCCAGCAGAAACCTGCCAGGTTAATCACAGACCCATCTGCACAGGAGCCATCAGCCCCTGAAAGGTCTCTCTGCAGAAGCCCAAGGGAACGCAGAGACACAAAGACAGGTGGGAACCCAAAGTTCCCTGAAGAAAGGACACCTTGGCCAGATCCCTCCAGGATTGTTCCAGGAGAGGAACTCACTC